TGACTCAGTCATTGGAAGTAACTTTGATCTTCTGTGAAGTATTTCTGCTAGTCAGGGAAAAGAGTGGGTTGCTTTACATTCCAAAGATACTAAAATAAATTGTTGCAATCCAATTTCTCCTGTCTGTTCCCCATCTACTGAGAATTATAATAACTTTGAATGAAGACACAGGACTTGTTCCACTTTGTATTCTCCTTTCTTCCTTCCTATGTCGTTAATGTTCTGCTAAGTCTTTATCATTTGTCAGCATCAGGGTGTTAGAGCAGACTTTCATGACTGAGCTGTTGGCTTCTGTAATTAAAATGACTGGCAAAATGTCTGGGAGATTGAGCTATGCTGTAGTACTTGAGCAGATTTTGCAATGTGAAATTGTGTTTACTGAGTATATAAATAGCAGACAGGCAAAAATGTGAACTTGAAAATTGAGGGTGGCAAGTACTTTTTGTCCTACGTATCTATAAGGCAGAGTGACAAGGATGCTTGGAGAAAGAGCAGAAGCTATTAGCAATACTCTTGGCTTTATGCCTTCAGTCAGGAAATAAATATTTTGTACCTGTATATTTCATACCAAAACTCTGCTGATAGATTGTGCTTAGTGATCATCATCAGTGTCTTGATGGTCCATATCTATGTGTGAATGTGTTTCTTCATGAGAATGAGAGTGGGGAAGAAAGAACGCTGTTCAGTACTTCTAGTAACAGTTTAGGTTAAACCATAACAATTCTGGAATCCTGTCTCTTCATAATGAAGTATCAGAAGTTTTGTCCTCAGAAAGACAACCTGGGGGAGAGATACCTTCCTACATCTTCATCTTCCTTCCTCCTCCAGGCTGATTACAGTAGCATTTGAGAATTTTAAAGATTTTTAATATCTTTTGAATACCCTTGAAACTAACCTGGTCCTTTTGCTAGGAGCCAGCATGTTGCTGCATATAGTGCAGGTCTTGTTTAAGGTCAGACTATTAATTAACAGCATCACCCAGACATCTACCCAAAAGCTGGATAGTTTGGAGTGGCGAGGTCTATGGGATAGTATAGGCCAGTAGCTAGGGCAGTGGACACCTCCAATGTGTGTGCACCTCGCCTCTGAACAAGTGCATAATCCAGAAAAAACTAGTAAAACATTTGAAAAAAGTATGCTGTCACTCTGACACTCCAGAGAGGACCCAAATCACTGCAACCTGTTGAACTTTGGCCCAGGCCTATTGAGCTATGTTCAACATTCTTAGTACCCTCAGGGGGAAACGAATGTCTCTGGATCTGACAATATAACAGCAACAGGCCCTGCAGCTACTCCAACCGCTGTGGCAGACGTGGCTACTTCAACCCTGGCAACAAATATTGCCACTGAAGCAGAGCAACATCATGTGCCAGTGTCAGTTCTGTACACAAGCAGAAAAAATGTACACAAAAGGCACCCTGTAAAAAAGCTTTAGCAAAGATGATCAAGGGGGACAAGGAGGTAGGAGAGGGCAGAGAGAATGAAGAAGAAGGGCCATCACATGCCATTGCCAAGGCAATCACTTTCAGTGATAATGAATGTATTTTTATTCAGGCACGTGCTGGATTTTATTTTTGAGGAATTTCCTAATATAGCAATAGGTGATTTTATGTGGTAATTAAGGGGGAGATGAGGGAGGCAGGGTGGCATTCCTGCATGCATAGCAGCTCTGTTATGAGGTGATGTCTTGATAAGCTGTAGAGCCAACAAATAGTCTAGCAGTAACTAATCCATTAATTCCTGCATTATCCTGTAAGTTCAATAGATGCTATTGTCTTACAGAAAATCATATAAGTCTTCACTAAGATCAAAATGAGAACCCAAATAGATGTACTCTCTAGGGACCTGATCAGAAAGTGTGATGAGCCAGAAAGTTTGTATTGTGGATTGCTTTGTTTTTTCATGGCCATGGTGTGTGAATAAAATCACTTTCTTATTTCATAGGCTCTCAGTGGAATAATAGTGAGCACATGAAATAAGAAGGAAATAAAACTTTACCATTCATCCTGTGATGGTTGCTTCATTTTGGCTCATACGGCTATTGTTCTTATTGTCCTAAAGCACTGTTCCTGGATGGGTCTATATATATTTATTGGTAAAATAAATATGAAAAAAGACAGACATTTCTAGAGAAGATACAAGGTCAAACTGGCTTTAAACTGTAGTGAAACTTTGTATCAGAGCTAAGCTTAGCTATTGCCCGTTGGTTAGCCTGATTTAAAATGTTTTGTTGTAACATGGAAGATTATTGAACTTTTTTTCACCATTTCATCTTCTGTGCACTTGGATCCCCAGCAGCATCAGTGGTAGATTTCATTACACCCAAGCAATGAAATTTCTATTCTTTCTGTATAGTGCTTTCTGTGGACCATGAAATTATTTGCCTGTATGGAATATTGAGAGGTATAAACTTTTTTGAAGCACTATCAATGTATAATTCAAGAGGGAAATGTATGTAGAATATCCTCACTGTACTGCTGTGCAAGTCTTGTTGTGAATTTCCTTTTAATAATGTTTTGGAATCTTCTTTTAAGACTGCATTGTTTTACATTATTGAAAGTAATTAGTTTGACACATGTTTAAATGTGCTTATAATCCTATTATCTTAATTTGTCTTACATGTTCTACCTGATTAAATATATTCCAAGAGTGTGCTTCCCTCCTCTAGGACAAGTGGTATAGGATTTGTTGAATAGAGGGAATGCGAATGTTATGGCCTGATGTGTAATGATGCAAAACATCTACTATACAATCTGATATTCAAGAGAAGCCTAAAACCAAAACATAACCTAAAAATGGGAACAACTGAAATATTCCTTTTCAAGGAGGAATGGGCTCTCATCCCTGAATTAGTGCTGTCTGTTTATAGTGGAACTCTGGTACTGCATGAGCTATTACATGGCAGAGATGAGGGTGGTTCTGCCTGGCCAGAACTGCTATTGTTGATGCTGTGTGGAGCAGGAGAAGGAAGAGGAGACACTTGGGGAACACAGATTATGAGGAAGGGACTGAGATTTTTTTCAGGCGAGATTGAAAAAGCAGTGTAGGGTACAGCTCTGTAAAACTTAATTTTTTCTCTGTTGACTGATTGAGGGGCTGAAATCTGTTATTTCAGCCCAAGTGTCTTCCCTTTACATTTACTTCAAATCTGTGTATGAACCATCTTCAAATATAATGGTTTGTTTCTTAGGTTATCTACTTTATAATGGACGTGGGGCTGAGAAGCTACTGGCAAACTCATTCTTTGGAGGAGGCGGGCTGCCTTTCATCAATGCTCTGTGAAAACCCTTGCTTTAGAAGGAAAATCTCGTATAATATGATTTTTGTGCCATTCCAGTCTAGTCATTTCAGTTTGCATTTCTGGCTTCCTCCCCCTGTGCTTACTGTAGACTTCTGATTTTAAAGGCAGAAAGGGAAATTGCTTTCTAGTCAAGATGTAAGGTGGTTTTTTCCACTGATGACTCTATATTTCACTTCCACTGATGTTACTCTCCCTTTTGCTTTTGTTGCATTCTCTTTCTTCCTGGGTCTTGCCAATGTAATTATTCCTGTAGAGTGTGCTTTCCTCGTTGCCTGCTGATTTGATGGGACACTGAAGGGCCTTATCATCCATGCTGAGCTCTTTTATGTATATGCTATATTAATTTTCTGCTTTTGCATGTTCTACAACCATCTGTATGTAAGTGGCTTACAATCTATTTCTATCTTCCAAAAACTGTTCCTTTGCAATTTTGAACAGGAAAAATTAAAGTCTTTTTGTTTTCTTCTATACCTCTCTTCTTGGATGACTGATAGTCAGTCAATTCTTGCTCTAATTAGAGTGTAACACTTGTACTCAATTTTTGCTACTTATTTTATTTGCTCTCTCTGATCTTAATTCCACAGATGCTGTAATAATTTGACTTGCCATTTAGTTTGGTAACTTTGATGTACTTATTAAGTGATAACTCAAGATACTTATCTTAAAGATATATTGAAGCCTCAATATTTTTGCATAGCATTTCAAGATGCGTCTATTGATATGGTTGAAATCTTGTTCAAAATCTCTTATGCATCAAATGTTACTGTAACTTCTGTGTTGACAAATGTTATACTGGTGTTCACATCTGTTCAAAAGGCTGCTACAAAGATGATTAAGATTTAGCGCATCTCATTACATATGTCAGCTGCTTTTGCGTTGTTGATCCTTGTGTGTACATTAAAACACACAAGCTCTAGCACTGAATATGTGTGAAGCTTCACTTAGCAAGTCTTTATGGAAAAGTTGATAAATATCTAACCAGTTAAAAGCCCCACAACCAAACCCACTTTTTGAAGGAGTTTTTTTTGTCCCTTGAAAGAGTAACACCAGAGCAATTGACTTGGGCTGTTGATTAGTCATAAGGATTATTCATGAAATCATAAATGTACCCTACTTAGCATTAATAAAGGAGTTGATAGTTTTTATGCTTCTCCTAAATGAATTTCTAAATAATTGGAACAAAGAAAGGCACTAAATTTTGTATAACATGATGGAAATAAAACATAAATAGAACAGTGTCTTAGTTATGCTAACTTGTCTTTTAATAACAAGTAGTTTCTTTGCATATCTATGTACTCTGTTGCCATGTCAGGAGTACAGCTGTTTCAGAGTGACAAAAACAACTTCTAAACTATGTTTTTGGTAAATAAGCCTGCTTTCTTACATTCTCCATGTAATGGTTGGAAAGAATTCTTCATAAATTGGTTTTGTATATATCTATTCCTCCAAACTTTCTGTAAAATTGTTGTGTTCTGCACAATTTCTCTATAACATAATGGGATTCTGGTCTGTTAACTCAAGTGCTAAGGCCACCAACCGTTATATGTATCTTTAGGAAAACCCTCAAAAATAAGACAGTTAAATAACAGGCAAGCTACCAGAGAAAAATAAGAGTGTTTAGCTTCCAAGAACACATATGGTAGTTAGGGTTATATAAAATGAAGCAATATGTGATATGTTATACCTTTTATGTTTTCAGTTGGATAGATTTGCCAGTATAAGAATTCCAAAAAGTAAAAAAGAAAGACCTCCTCTGCCGCATATGAAGCAGTCACATTCTACAGATTGGTCATCCACATCTATGGATCCAGAGGATTTTGCTCCAAAACCACTGTCGGAAAGAGAAATCATAGCACTGTTTGAAAAAATGATGGTAAGAGTCTTACACTCATTTCTTTTACTTAAAGAATTACAATGTGGCTAATTGATAGGCAGAGCCCTCTTTTGTGCAGGTGTTCTAATCTTTACATGAATTATTAATATTGTTGGTGTTGTGAGTTGTAATTATGTGATTAGAGTGTTTCTCAGGGAATAAATTACTGGAATTATTTCTACAAACTTTTGCTCCAAGTTTATTTAAAATGGAAATTAAAGGTTTCTAATTGTTGGAAGTGAGATTATGCAACACATTTTGAGGAGGATTAAGAAATGGGGAATCCTGCTTCCTTTTAAGATGACCTGAAACTTTTACAAAGGGATTTTATGCCTCTAAATGTCACAGCAGGATTTTGGTCCGAATTTATATTCCATGTCACTCTTGCACAAAATAAAGACTTAAGGTTCTTGCCTCCAAAGCAACATTTATCTGCAAATGCAGTCTCAAATTTGCTTCTTTCCTTAGCTGTCATTGTTACTGTGCTACAAAAGAGCAGTCACAAAGGTCATGTGGCATTGGTACCACCTCAGTAGGTTGAATTTTTTTTATCATGATGATGACATTTTGAGCAATTGAAAACTAAACATGAAATGGCCATGAGAAAAGAGTGACTGCAATCTGAAGAGCACAAGAGAATATTAACAAGCAGAGTAATACCTAGATTATTATTTCTTTCTCTGTCTCACAGCAAGTAACAAGTAATTTTCAAGAAACACAAAGGGACTACCAGAGGCAGGGATGTGGAGGAAATGAAATGTACTATGAGAGAAGTACCTGTGTGGAATTTGTAATTCCTAGTACTCAGTAATGGCAGCTTAGTTTTATGATGCTTTTGTAGAACTCTGGAGAACTTTAAGTGAGAGATAGCATTCAGGATTTACATGGTTAAGCTGGTGAAGGAGAGGAGTAATTAACTGTGTTAGCGACTTTTGTATTGGTACTCGTTTTCACATGGTCTGTTTTTATTGGTATACCTGGTATCTTGCTTCTCTTAGAAATTTCATAGTGAATCATAGTTATTCAAATGTTAGGAAATGTGACAGTTTTTTAATAAAACTTGAAGGTGTGCCTCCCTGCCTACACTCCCCTGTGTATAGGTTGTATTTCTCTGCCATTCCACAGAAATTCTGACACAGGATAGTCTGTGATGTTAATAGTATGCCATAAAAAATAGAAACTTTCAATAAATCCTCAGAAACCTACTATTGTGTGTCTAGGTAAATAGAAATGCTTATATCTATGGATCCTGAAGTAATTAATTCCAATTTTAAAATGACTTTACAAAAAATATGTTAAAGTAATGATGACATCTGGAAAATTTGAATGCTTTCCTAGTTTCATTGAATAACATAGTACTTAAACTGTATTTGATAAGCTACTTTATCAGTGTTATTTTATCTGTAACATGTACTACAGAAAGGATTTTTCAGATTATCCACGTTTGAATGGACTGGAATTAAAGCTAGTTTAGTCACAGTAGATTACATAGCTAATTATATATTGTAGCCTCTAGTTTGCTGTTCTGATCAAATTAAGTGATTTGGGGAGGGTGGATTGGTGAATGTTGTAGGCAGACTTTTAGAGCTAATTTTGCACAAAATAAAAATAGTTAATGTAGTAGTATTGAAGGGAGAAGTTTTTAAATTCTGAGGGTTTACCGAACATGTTATGTTACACTTTGGGTTTTTTTGGATGCATACTGCTTCCTTGTCCCAATATTCTATGCAGTAGCATCCTGTGTGGTTTTGGTAATAAAAGTTATGAAAGAGCTCATAAAACCAGACAGTTAAAGCTAATAATTAACGTCATTGAGTGCTATTAGGAAAATATCCATCATTCTTATTTTCCAAGAGGAAAATTCACCTAAAGAGTATATTTTAATTATTTAAGAAATACAAGGATGGAGTTGAAGTATTTTATAAACTCAGCCACAACTGATTTGCCACTTGCATTGCTGAATGCTTCTAATCAGTATAAATGAATTGTTTTAATGATGTTTCATTTGTTAAAAACAAGAACAAGGAAATGACTTTTTACTGCACACACAGAATATTTCCTATAAATTACCTTGCTGTTATATCTGGGATTATGGAATACAGTTTGTGGTGATAGGTTTGTTAGTTCTTGGTGGTTTTTGTTATTAGAAGTTAGATATTTTTATTTAAGTTCAGCAGTTACTTTTTGGAGCACCTAAAAGAGCAAGTCTGAAAAAAACTGCTTTAAACAGAAGAATGAACTTTGCAACTTCTATAGGATAATGTGAAAAGCTTTTCTGTTTGTTCAAGTTAAGTTCACCAAAATTAACTCTATCCAAACTGAAACCAGGACAGTGGTCAAGCATTTTCTGCAATGGCTTTTCACATCTTGGATTTATACAAAACTAAATGTTTCAAGGAACTGTGCTTGATTCTATTCTACTCGACATGAAAACTACTGAAAGACAAGGAAACTTATGTTTCAGTGTAGTATAAATTCAAAGGCTTGTCTGTGGTGTTTGATTTCTGACTAGGTGAAATAACTTTGATATCAAGATGGTTACCCACTGATTTTGTAGCATTGCTCCTGCCAAAGCTGGTGGGGATTCACCTCATGAGTCTCAGCTGAAAATAACTGCAGTAATTCTTGCTAAGCTTGGGTAATGCACATACTATGTGCTTGTATATGTGTGTGCCAAAATTGTTAATTGTTCCTTAAAACTATTTTTAATTTTTTCACCTCCACAATGGTAGGAAATGCCATTTCTCATAGATGTGCAACTGATTACAATGATCAGCACATTTCTAGGCTGGAACAGTAGAAGTCCCTGTGTCAGAAATGACAGTGAATAGCTACTGTGTGGCTTTGAGTATAGAGCCTCTGCTCTTTTTGACCTCTGGATTTATGTTGGAGTGAATGAATTGTGATGGAGTTTTGATAACAGTTGAAGGTGTTGATTTAATGATCAAATCTTTAAGAATTTTGGCCTTACATATTGCAAAGATGAATATTATTTTGTGAACTACTCTCAGTGCAAACCAGATTCTGCTGCCCAGGATTAAGTATTTGGGAACTGAGGAAGTGAATTATGGAACAAATTAAAATTTATATTAAAAATACCTAAGATACTGGTTTGAGGACACTTATAAATGTTTTGGGAAGTGTTAATAATGCTTTTCTGTAATTTACTACATTGTCTGAAACTGTAGGTCATTTCTAAGAAAAGAGTATGCTAATAATGATTGTGATGCACTTGTTAATCCCAGCATAGCTGACTGTTTTTTTTTCAGTCTGAGTTGAGGTTACAAGGGAAGATGGATAATGATATTTATGGTTTTGATTAACAACTTATGAAAGGTTCTTTGTATAACAGCTTTCATTTGCCTAAGTTCATATTTTTGTGCCTTTATTTTATTTATATCAGTCTCTCATATTTAAATCACTCTGTTGCTGTATGGCATTTTTTTCCTCTCCCATTCCAGGAAGATATGAATTTAAATGAAGACAAGAAGATGCCATTGAGAGAAAAGGATTTTAATACCAAAAAAGAAATGGTGATGCAATATATTAGCACTGCTTCAAAGTCTGTAAGTAAATGTCTCTGAAGTATACCAAAATGACTTAATGATTACCTTATTTCCTATTGGAGAGAAAAAGTGATGCATGCATGCACGTTATATTCTTTTGACCAGCTTCCGTTTCTCACAATATGCTTTAAAAATGTTAGTATCGATCTCATTATTTTACAAGGTATGATGGCAGATAGTCACTTGTGTTTGAAGTGTGTCTTCTGTACACAAAACAGCATTTCTTTTTGGTAAAGAGGCGGCTATTAGTGGAGATAGAAAGATTCTATGGAAAACTTCTTACAGATATTTGGTGTGAACCTTTTTTCTAGCATTGTTTAAATTTCTTAATTAATTAAATTCCTGAACTGATGAACCTTTTTCATACCTGAAAAATTCAATACAGAATTCATATTGTGATGTTATGTAATAGCTGATAATGAAAATATTGTGCACAAAGCCAATTAGTGCCCATTTTTACTTATAGGGATAATTACTTGTTGTTTTAAAGCAGTACAGGGAATTGTATGTAAGGACCAGTTTAAGGATTCGGTTGGCATGAGAAGAGCTGTTTAGTTTTTGCAGCGTGGGGACTGACTCCAGTGCTAAATGCTGCAGTGCCAATACTGTTCTCAGATCTTCTGATTGTTTTAGAATTCATGCGTTTGAGTCTTTGACTCTCACTGCTGCATGTGACCAGAGATATCAGTAAAAATGGCCTGTATGTAATTATAAGTACATACTAAGAAAAGCAAACATTAAATATAGTAATTTAAATGAGATATTTATCTTATTGTCTACATTAAATGATGTACTTTATTAGTGTAATGCTCTAGCACTTTTAGGAAGGTAGGTACGCCTAGAGCAGGACTGAATTGCCTGGAGATTGTTTTAGCTAAGATGAGTTCTTCAAAGCTACTAGTCCTTCTATAGCATAACAGGTCCTTAATACCAGCTTGGTTGTTTTTTTATTTTTTAGAGATATTTTATCTCTAAAAATCAGGGAACTTCAGGCTAGTAAATCTCACAACATTCTTGAAGTCTATCTACCCAAAACAGCATGTCAGGGTTTATATGTCATGGACACCCCTAACCTCCACATGTATTCTAAGACCTCAGTTGTTTGATCTTAAAAGTAGTGTGACATGACTGGCTATGCAGAGTTGCTGTATCCACATCTGTTGCTGGAATCTTAGCATTCTGATGTTGGTGATGTTAAGGCTCTCTTTCTCAAGAGAAAGGTTTTCATGTTTTTGCTTCCTGGCACTTAATACATGGAAAGACCTGAAACCTATATAACAAGTTTCATTGATCTTTCTTTCTGAGTGCCATTTGCAATAAATAATTTTTCTTTTGTCTTTGGATGTCATCACACTTGTGTTTTGACAATGGAGGTTCTTGCACTATGCCCAAACAGCATAGTATAATGTGTATATATATATGTATATATATAGTATACCATATGTATAGTATGGCATGGTACAAGGTACTGTGTTGAAGACGAGAGGTCTGTTTCCTCCCCCAGGGTAGTGATATGTTCCAACACTGTTGTCTTGCATGTTTTCCTGAAGCTCTCAACAGCATTTTTTTCCTTTCTGTTCCCATTCTCTGCTGCTAGCCCACTATTCCCCTTTCTGCTGTGGGAGATCACTAAAGACCAATCCATACAGGGAAACTTGTCTTTCCTGAACTCTGTTTCTGTGGTTGTGTCCTTACTGGAGGTTATGTTCACCGGTTGTATAACTGCGAGGAACTGTTTTTGTGAGGCACAGATTCAGCTGTTTGATACAGTAGAGCTGCAGATGATTTCAGTTTACTGCTGGAGCTCCTGTGATGGGAAATTCCTTCCCTCACACTTGAAAACTTTGTTCCTGGCATGGGCTTTCATGTCTCAAATTCATTGGATTGTCTGAGTGCCTTCTCAGTCTAGAGAGAATAGTGCACTGCACACCCAGAGTATTTGGCTAACTTCTGGTTTACCTTGACTTCCTGAAAGAGTGTCATGCTTTTTCAGAACAGGTGAAGTGCCATATAGCTCCTGTTACATACAACTAACCCCATCCCACTCTCTTTCTAGGACTGATACTGCAGTAACTTCTTTTGATAGTTCATAATTCTCAAACTTGAAGGAGATGGATACTAAGCTATACTGTGTTGGGACAAATATCCTCATTTATAACTTATGCTGAGTACTGAGCAGGTTTCATTTAAAGCAGTTATCATTTTAAAAACTATATAAATGAAGAACAGAGACTGTACCTCTAATGAATCACTGAAAATAAAATAGCCTCTGATGATCAAACTGGACTCTACTATAATCAAAGCTTCACCATTGACCTCAGTATTAGGATTTCTGTTTCTTGGAAATGCACAAATCCTTTGCAATATTCATAAAACACACCTCTTTCCACAGTAATACTTGCATAAAAAAAAATTTTGAAAAGAAAATTCCATTTTATGGAGTTAATACTCAAGTGGAAATAAAACAGCATTGCTATCGTGTTACGCTACCATAAGTTTTGCTATTTTTTATGTTCAAAACACACACAAACTAGGTTTTAAAGTGATTTTTCTTCTCAATATTTTGTTTTTGTTGTTCACATTACTCTTTGTAATGTTTTAACTAATTAATTAATGCTGACTTCATGCTGCATCTGCTCACAGACCAGTTGTTCTTCAGTTGAGCAATTAGATTTCTAGAGGCACTGATGCCTCAAGATGTTTCCTGTTTCTCAGTTAGCTTGAGCATTTTGAACTTAAGCAGCGTTTCCCATGCTGAAATATAGCTAATATAATCAGTTTCACAATTGGTACCAAATGCAGCTCTCATTTAAGCACTGGCAGATGTATCATATTCTTATTATGTTGCAGAACTTATTATATGGCATGACTATGATTAAGTGATACTTGGCACTGTGGGTATGTTGTACAGACATTCACAGTTTATTGCATAGGATAGTGCTCAGGTGGGGAACTGAGTCTGAGACAGGATGGCTGGTTACTGTATGAATGTTGATGTGAGTCTCCATTGCTTGTGACACTGTCTTCAGATGGGTCACATGAGGCTCTCTGAAATGTCGTTCTAGTGGCTTCTTATAGTCCAGCTGGGCTCTTGTCCCATGTGACCTTCCCACTGTACACATTACTATTGATTACATTAAATTCTTTCAAAAATATTTCTAGCTATCTTAACTGTATGTCCTGTCTGTATGACTGTCTTATATGACTGTGCATCAAAACAAAAGCAATTTTACAGCAGGACTGCTGGGAGAAGTCACTGGAAATGACAGATTCTGCACCCCGGATATTAATCCATATGCTTAGGCATACAAGTAGTGCTTGTTAAGAAGTCTATGCACAGCAGGAGCTGCCAGCAGAATTTCTGTGACTTCTTGAAATTTCCAACTGGAGAACTATTGTAACATTTAGTTAAATACTTTGTCATGAAGGATGCTAGGAGTTTGTGTGGTCATTTTGTCTCTAGTTAATTCGCTATCTCACCTATGCAGAGATGAGCTGGGAAGATCCATGAAAGAAAACTGAAAACACTGAGTTTCTTTTTGTTTGTGGGAGCATTTATTGTTATGGATTTTTTTTTTTATTTTCTCTGAGTTTCCTAGATTTCTCCTCCAGACTCTCCTCAACCCTCATCCCTTCCCGGACATCTCATCTATTTTTTATGTGGAACATAGTTATTGGAAGTGGCTCTCATATTTAAACAAATAGGAATCTCCATGCACTATGTGTGGTGTTCCAAAATATAATATGAGATGCTCTATTTTCAGGATGATTCCTGGCAGTAGTTTGTTTTTTGGTGTCTGGAGCATCTGTTTATCAAGTCTGAGAAAATATAGTTGGAGCAGAGAGTATTATAGTTCACAATGTTCTGTTATTAGAGAGTCATAGAACAGAATGATTGCGACTGGAAGACTTCTGGAATAGTCTTGTCCTACCTCTCACCTATTCCCTTTTTAGTATCTCAGATAGAGGAGACTATACAGCCTGCTTGGGCAACCTGTTCCAGTGCTTGACCAGCCTCAAACTTAAAAAAATACAAGGGAAGAGAGGACAAGTTTTGTTTATGCCTAATATTTAACCAATTTCTTATAATTCAGTATTTACTTCTTGACCTTTCACTGATAGGGTTCCCCTGAGCCTCCTCTTCTTGGGGCTAAACAATCTATCTGCCTCTCCATGTACTACAGATTCTCCTGTAATTGTGTCCGTAGCCCTTTCTGAACTCATTCCAATATGTCCATGTCTCTCTCATGCTGGGGAGTCAAGAACTGGACACAATACTCCAGATGCTCACCACTGCTTACCTGAGGGGAATGACAATCTCGCTGGTGATGCACTTACCGTCCATGCACTTGTCATCCATCAGAACCCCAATTTTCCTACAAACCTGCTTTCCAGCTGGTTGGCCCCAACGCATGTTGATGCATAAGGTTATTCCTCCTCAGGTTCAAGATTTACCATTTTCTGTTGTGGAACTCCCTGAAATTCCTGTTGATGTCCCTCTGAATGGCAGCTCAGCAGCCTGGTCTGTCAACTATGCTTCCCAGCTTTTAACTTCACTTCTCTGCTAGAAACTATTTCATAGAAACTTCATAAGGAGAAAAGCTTAATTCTCAATACTTCCTGAGGATCTTCCAAAGTGAGAAAACATCATCTGTATGAAGCTATCTATAATAACATAATGAGACCACATCACTATTTACAGTGAATAGTTTCAAGTTATTATTGCACTGCAAGTCTAATTCTCTTCAATTCCTGACTTAAGCCACTAGTTAGTCAAGAATTATTTAGTAAGTCTCTGTGGTGCAACATGACAGTTGTGCTTCTGCTCTCAAAAAAAGAAGTCTTGCAACGAATTAACTCAAATATAGGTTGTATGCAACATTGTATGCCTCTTTCTTTGAATTTAGATATGTTCTGTAGAAAATATCCTTCATGTGAAATGGATATTAGGTGGAGTTGACTTCTTATTTTTCAATGTCTACAAATTTTGTCTTTACTATACTGAAAAAAAGGAGAGGATACTCTTACTAATTGGGTCAACGCCTCTTAGATTTGCCCATTTACTTGCAAATTGTAGAACTTCATTAGTTCAGTGGAATGATTACTTTTTTTAAAACAACAGATACTATATATCCCTCAGAAAAATCATTAATATCTTGTATTTATTTTAATCAACATTTGGCAAGACAGATACAGTGATGAGTCAAAACCGGCTTCTTTCAGGCTGTATTGCTTGGAACAGAAAGTATTTTGTTTGCATGAAACTGCTTTTGCTGTGCTGCATGAACTTGCTATTGCATTTTCCTTTTTATCTCCCTGTTCTCCACATCCCCACTTGCCTCCCCACCTGCCAAAAAGAGCAAAACCCAAAAAACAAGTCAAAATCCAAACCTGAAGGTTTGAGTAAGTGTCTTTTATGTTGTTGCATCAATAGTCATATTTGTGTTGCACTGGATTCTTACAGATGGCCAACACAACAAATGAGCAGCTGAGGTTCAACTTTAGAATTTTAGTTCTAAAAAAGGACTCTTTTAATGTGGTTTTTTCATTTTTATTTTTTAAATTCTTTTGCTTTAACCCTTAGAGCCAAAGCTAGCCAATCTCATATAGTCTTCATCTGAAGAGAAGTGTTTTACAACACTGCGTGCAAGAACAGAAGTTACTACAGTAACACTCTGAATATTCTTCTGGTGTGCTGTAGTCTTGTGACTGCAGTCACCCTTTGGGACCTGTGCCTTATGATCTCTTCAGAGAACCTCAGAACTGATTTTTTCTTCAGTTGAAAATTGAAAATTAAGGTGTTTGCAATGCATAAACAGAATCCATTCATTACAACAATTGTATTTCACTGAGCATGCGTGATAAATTTGTACAGTTGATGCCTGCTACTTTTGTCTACTGATTAGAAATTTGTTCATAAGATGACCAAAATTTAGTCATCATTTGGCATATAGTAGATAGAGATCAGTTACAGGTTACAGGTTACACTTACAGGTTTAGGTCTACATTATATATTTTTCAAGGAACAGAAATTAAGGTTAGCCATTAATAATCTATTTGAGTTCTATATGCACCAGATAAAAAACTAATGTATTTTCTGTGTTTCAGGGAAGTCTCAAGAACAGTAGGAAGATTTCACCTCAAGAGTTTATTCAGGATTTAAAATCTGGGTCAACAGATGAAAGACTAGTCACTTGCTTAGAGTCTCTCCGTGTGTCCTTGACTAGTAATCCTGTCAGGTAACATCATTAACACATATTGCAGAGATTAATCATATTCTCATTTCTTAATGGATTAAAATTAATGGATATGTAGATGTAAATGGTTCAAGTTTTTCCAGTTAATGAATGTGTATGCATTAGTGAATGGTTGTAATTTTTTCTTTTTTTTCATTGATTATATATCTTCTGTAGTTTTATTATTTTTTAATAGAGTTCACTGGCCTATGCAAGGCGATTCTAAGAGAAGATAAATTAAATGTAGTGCAGAGCAGTTCCCTTTATTTTCTAGTGCTAAATGGTAAAATTTTTTTTCCATTTTTATTTTTGAAATATTCTCTAACACTTTGATCTTTTAAACTATTTTGTCAGGGTGATCAATAATGGGAGTTAGGCACCTTGATGTAAGTTTGTTCACCAGAAAACATTTATATTTTTAGTTGCGTGCTACTACTTCTGTCCAGTGTACTGTAAATTTTCTTCCTTGCTGCCCTCTGGTTATTTTTTCCATGTCTGTAGAGTATACAGAAGAAAGCACAACATTCATTTACTTGTGCTTTTTTGAACGAAGGCTAACTCTTCAGTAATTACTGATATTAGTCTTGAATTTTGATTTGATCCATGCAGCTTGATTTGTGAATGCTGACTTTATTATATTGTATTTTTTTTCTATTCTACTCTATTTACATCCTTTAGTTTTAGAGTTACTGTTTAAGACAGTGACTGAACACATGATTTGGAAAACTAGTTTGGGTTTAGTTCAAGATAATGCAAAAGAAATGTTGGGAATGCTTATGATGGGACATGATCTAAAAAAGATTATACAACTTTTTCTGTGTCTGGCTTGGCAGAGTTGTTCGTATGGGTCTTCTGTATGGGTATTTGCTTCTTTCCTTCTATTAGTTTGTTTTTTAATTGGATTGTCTTTTCTTATTTAGAATATATAATGGTTCACGTGGGAAGAAACATGCTTTATGTTAACCTGAGTTATTCTGACAGAGAGTTTTACAGAAGATATACTTCCTTCATGAATGTAAAACTACTTTTAGATATAGTATTGCTTCCCCTTCTTAAAAAAGATTCCAACAACTCACAACCCCAGCAATTTTTTTTATTTTTTTATTTGCATTTAGGTTTAACAAAGAAAACTTTGTTTGTTACTATAGGCTTGGAAAGAGAAACATGAAATGTTTGAAATGTGTGGCAACTTCTGCTTAGAGCAATCTTTTCTCTCTGTTCTTGATATGAGTGGATAGTTTTATCTTTTTGTATGTCATTCCCTTTGCTGCCTCTCTCCCACATACCAAGAGAAAAGTTAACCCCCTACTCCCCAAAAAATAAAACAAAACAAAACCTGTCATCTTGATGATGCATTGTTGATATCAGAGTATTGCACTGATTGCAACACAGGTTTTAACTTTGTTCAGATATCTACTACAGTAGGTAAAAAGGTTCACAGTTGAATCTAAAGTCCTAGCTTGACCATAATTTATTAAAATATAACTTCAATTTGAAACATTATGCAGAATGTAGAGACAGCATAAAAGAACTATAAGTTTTGGAGTGGAGATGAAATCATTAAGTTAATGGATGGCTTAAGAATAGGTCTGAATTTGACAGGTTTGAATTGGAAATAGAGTGACTATGGCTTGCAAAAACACCAGAGAAGAGATATTTAAGTAGCAGTTCAATAAACAAAATCTCTACTGCTTGTCCATGAACACATTTTAGTCTACAAATCAAAAGAAGGATCACAACCAGTAGAACATATGTTTTCTGAAGCAGTCTTCTGATATATTGAGTGGTACTGAGAAAAGTCTATTAAGATAGACTTCACTAGGCTTAAACTGAGCATTTCAAATAACCTTAGTAAAAAACATAAGTTCTTAAGTAGGGCTTATATACAAAAGTAGCAAAAATGGAACAGCGACACACTGGTGACCTGGATTTTCCTATCAGCAGCCAGATCTTTGAGTAAGAACTTGCATTGACACATAAATACTGAACTCTGGTTCAGCTGCTATAAATCCATGATTAATTTAGACTTCAGCTTCATGTGATATGGACAATGAGAAATAACTGATTAAATTTTGGGATTTTATTTTGTGCATGTATAATAACAATGGATAAAAGTATGCTTTTTTAACAGGATGAGAATTAAATTTAGATTGAATTTAGGCTGACATTTTTAACATTTGTGGGCCGTGATATTTTTGACAATATATAATTTAGGGTTTTTTTCTGATTTTTCAATTACTATAGTTTAATCAACCTAACTTTTAAATCTTGTTGACATTTCAGTTTCTAATGCAAGAAGTGATTCCACAACATTGTTTTCAATTAGTCTTTCTTGTAAAATGTATTTTTAGTTCACAGAGAAAATCTGAATTGTGACATTGAGTGGTTTGATCCTTGGTACTGAGAAAAATGTATTGATATCTGTGGCTTACTGCAAAAAGCAGTGTTTATATTCCATCAGTATAAAATAAAGCCTCAGAAGGAAAATCTTGGTCACTAATCTTCAAGTAAATAATTTGGATGTTTTGACCTCACAATTGCCAGCACAGTTCATCAAAAGCGCTTCAAGTGATTTAACTGTGCATAGTATTGCAGATAAGTGGTTATCTGCAGCTATTTATTTTCTTTTTGTGTAATAGTTGCAACAGATTTAATTTCATTAAGAGGACATTTTTAATACATTGAAAATAGGGGCACTGATAACTTGATGTTTTGTCAGACTGACAAAAAGCTGAGTGTTTTCTTTGGATAGTAAAAGTAATTATTTTTGTTTTGTGGAAGCAGAGGAAAAAGCAATAATAATACAACAGTATTTTAGGCACTTGATCATTCTGAGCACCCTCAGCTGTTGGATGTACAACAAAGTGGCTGTGCATAATTCTGCTAATACAAAATATGCTAAGACATGGTCTTGTAGGATTATTTTTAGGACAGATATGGCCAGAAATGCCAAAAATAATTGACATTTATTTGCATAATCTGTTTCAGAACAAAACACCCATTCAGGAAAGAGAAAATCTATTTTCATAATATATTTACTTTTAGGGGAAAAAAAAATAAAAGCATCTGATCTATTTTTTATTCCTATAATTTTAAGTACTACTGTCATTATGCCATTACATGCATTTGATACCAAGGGATTTTGAGCAATACCAAACAGGACCATGAAGCAGCTGTTTCATGTAGAAACAACTTGCCAAGGGTTTAACCTCACCAAAAGATAGCTTTGGTAGTAGCTAAAATTTTAAATTTTTGTTGTGTTCACTTGGAGATATTTCAAATGATCCAGTTATACTTGCTTTTATTCACTGGGATGAATTCACAATTTTCATTCACTAGGATTAGTCTTTTTTTTTTAATTGTCAATTCTTTTAAATGTCTTTTTTCTTTCTCCCTAGCTGGGTTGAAAATTTTGGCCGAGAAGGTCTAGGACTGCTATTGGATGTTTTGGAAAGATTGGTTGAGATAAAAAAGTAAGGATGATTTAACATAAAATTGCAAGCTTTTCATAGTATGTAAACAGCATTTAATTACACTAAACTTTTGATTTATTCAGTCAGGACAGAGTTGTGAAGAGGAGTCAGCATAAGGTTATACAGTGTTTGAGAGCCTTCATGAATAATAAGGTATGGGATTTTATCTAATCTGGAAATCTAAATTACTGCAGTTCAATCAGATAAGGTACATGATGAATGGGTGCAAGTCTGTGCAATTGGGAAGTGGTGGGTTGGTCAGCTGTGGTTTGAAGTTCTTTGTGTCTGCCAGAAGTCTGCCACTTCCTCTCTATATTCCCAACCAATAATGTGAACTTTTGATGCTGGTATATACCCTTTTTACAGTATAAGTGACCTATTTGGGACTTTTCTTTCATTTAATTATTTTAATAAAGTATTTGACAGACTGAAATGTCATTTGAAATACTTACTTGAGGGAACCATCACTGTCATTACTAGATATTCAATAGTCATTTGGATTCCCTCCAACTATCCTTACAACTGTTCTTTTGTTGTTTAGTATGGGTTGGAAAGAATTTTGGGAGAAGAGAGGAGCCTTTTGTTGCTGACCAAAGCAATTGATCCCAAGCAAACTAACATGATGACGGATATAGTTAAACTCCTATCTGCAATGTGCATTGTTGGAGAGGAAAACATGTAAGTACTGTATTTAAGTAGGAAATAGTAAGGTAATTTTACAATATCCAAAATTATAGTTATGCCTGAATTAAATGTTAAAATTTTCAATTTAAGTTTGAAAGTAATATCTGTATTATATTGTCAGTTTTCAGAATACCTTTGTCTGATTCTTTTTTTTATTGTGGTCGTATCAATAAGAGTTTTCTTTTTGACATGTGGATGTACTGCTTAGATAGAATTAGTTATGTAGCCTTTCTTTTTCTTAAAATTTGTTAGTATAACTTTTAAGGTATCTTAATCCTTATAATCCAGTAAGTCATTTTTTGGCTGCAAAAAATCTCCAAAGGAAACATATAATGCTTAAACCTAAATTTATATGCAAGAAATTGAGGCAGGTGAATAATTTGGCAACATGTCTTTTCAGATAGCAAATGAACAGCAAGTTTAAATATCTCTCCTGAGTGAAATGCTTCTCTTTTCTCGCAGCCTTGAAAAAATTTTGGAAGCTGTAACAGCAGCAGCAGAGGAAAGGAATGTTGGCAGATTCTCTCCTATTGTAGAAGGTCTTCAGGATAACTCAGTTCAGCTGCAAGTAAGCAATTTTTTCTTTTTTTTTTTTTACAAAGCACTGCAACAAGTAAAAATAAAATTTCTTACTTTTCTGTACCGAACAAGTCATTACAATTAAAAGGAACAGGTATACTGTTTCAAATAGGGGTCAAATTTTGGAATGTTGTTGATAATTTTATCTTTTAAAATGTCACTGTAAGATTCATTGTTGAGAAACACAGGGTTAATTTGTTGATTTCTACTCACTCAGATCTTACCTTTGCAAGTTAAAGTTATACTGTCCTTTAAAATAAGGATAAATCATATATTTGAATGCAAAAGATTATCTCACTTCTGGCAATATTTGCTGAAACTTGGAGGTTAATAATAGTAAAAAAGCAAGTTTTTAGGCAACTGCTTTTAATAATTAAAGTTTTAATCAGCAGGAAGTTCATCCCTCATGTCCATCTTATGATTTCGTAAAATTGCACCCAGAGAGTCCAAGGAAAAACATCTTCCACCTTTTTTCAATTTTCAGTTTGCTTCAGTTGGATATAGAGTTAACGGCAGGAAGGCACAAAGTATTACACTTCATCTGAATGATCATTATAAATCATTGGTCTGAGAGTGTAAATATGAACTCTAATTGATATTCGTGTAATTTGGTTGAACCGAAAGCTATTAGTAATTGTAATTCTTTGTAAATATTGCAAAAATAGTAAAAGATTAATCAAAAGTTTGAAATAAATGTTTGTATTTTTCACCTTTTGTATTAAATAATCCATGTCAGACAGTAATGATCGCTGCTTGTTTCATCTATCTCACAGAAAAGTTTATAATAAAGAAATATTTAGAGGTGGAGAATCATTTGCTCTTGAATTATACCAGTACCAATGGGATTCTTTTATGAAAAATTGTCCTTCTTTCTTACCACTTCTATCTTATAATCACAGACTGGTTTGGGTTGGAAGGGACTTTTAAAAACTATATACTTACTTCCAACCCGGCTACCATGAGGAGGCATCTTTCACCAGACCACACTGCTAAAGCCCTGTCCAATTTGACCTTGAACACTTCCAGGAATGAGGCATCCACAACTTTGCAGGATATGATTGACTCTCAAGTGCACATTTCTGACTCATAAGTAGTTTTCAATTGTGAATATCCCCAAGTTCTTCTCTAAAGGACTTTTTTCAACCACTATCAGCCTTTACTGATACTGGTTATTGCCCCCACTCAAATGCAGGATGTTGCACTTGGCCTTTTTGAACTCCATGAGGTTCACGTGAGACCAATTCTCCAGCTTGCCAAGGTCCCTCTGTAAGGCATCTCCTGATGCTTCCATAGTTAACTTTCTTTTAGGTGATTTCATAGAATCACAGGATGGTTTGGGTTGGAGGGAAGCTTAAAGATTTTTTAGTGCCAACCTTCCTGCCATGGGCAGGGATGCTGCTCACTAGATCAGATTGCTCTGGGCCCCATCAGCCTGGCCTTGAACACGTCCAGTGATGGGACATCCACAACTTTCTGGGCTATCGATAAATTTTCAGGGATATAAAAAAATTTCTGGGATATCAATTTTTCCCTGGGATATCAATAAATTTCAAAAATATTTTGATGCAGTAGGGAGCTGCAGTAGGGATACTATAGATCATGAAAATTGTTTTCCAATTTCAGGATATTGTATCCAAGTTAAGAGAATTTAAGAGTCTATATTCTCTATAGAATGTATAAGGGTTTGAGAACTTCCAGGATGTTTTGAGTGTAAGCTTCCAAATGTGATCCTGAATTTTCAGGGCTTGTGTATATTTACACATGTGTAGATTTAATAGAGAAAAAAGCTATCTATAACTCTCTTTTCTTTAAGTTAAAAATGCATGTGAAACTGCCCTAAAAGCAGCACATTACTTTATTTGAAGCATTAGATAAATTCAATCAATCATATGTACCTCTCCCTTTGCCCATGACGGGTACTGACTGTTTGCAGCAGCGCTCAGCTCCATTAGTGAGGTACCACTGATGAGATAATGGAATTAGTGCAGGAAACTTCAGCTGAGCTACCTATGTCATAGCAACTTCTATTTTTCTAGGACTACTCTTCAGATATTGGAAAAGTTTATTTCTACTAGTTATGCCTTCTCGTGATTGTGATATACCTCCATTTGGCATTTTTTTTTATCCTCTGATGTGGATGATAGAAGCATTGTTAAAACTAAGAATTCTGTCTAAATGCTACAGTTGCAATACTTATACTAAAATACTTAGGCTAAATACATTCATTTGGCTTTGCTGTGTTAGCCTGAAGTTCTTGCAAATAGGTAATGTTTTGCTGTTTCATTTGCTGTATCTTTTGCAGATATGGAAACTTTCATGATTTTTTTGAGTTAAACTTCCATTTGAACATGTTCCTTCCACTAAAAGGCCTTTTGTTATTTATTTATCTTTTCAGACTTCAAAAATGATTGCTAGAAAAATCAGCATTCCTCATCTGAATCAATTGTAAACTTTTCTAGCAATGACATTGACCTGGTGGTTAATTTGACAGTGTTTTAATGAGACAGAAGTTTATAGTTGTCAGTTACTTGGCATACTTGCCTTGATTGTCTGCTTGATGTATGTCTACTTGCTTTGTGGCAGTTCAATTTGACACTAACAACTGACCTTTTCAATTTTGAATTGACTTAACATTTCTGTTACTAGAAGTTTGAATACATAAAAGGCCTCAATATGGTGATTTTTGTATTTTTAGTGAAAGCTCTGTGTATTTACTTTTTGCATTTATTGAAAGCAAAGGGTATTCTCCCTTTATCTTTCATAAAATCCAAAATTATGGAAAGCATACTTAAATATTTTTGGTTCAAGACAAGATTGGTGATCTTAGTCTGAGAATATAACTACAGCCAGGAGTAATACCGAGTTTCTGGTTATGTTAAAGTAAATGTACATCTTAAAGCTGTACTCAAGAAAATGCATGCAAGGCAATCTGATACCTTGTGTATTTATGATGACAACTGAAAAAGTGTAATACTTTGGTTGTACAAGTCAGGGATGCAGGAAGTACAGTTCTGACACAACTAATTTTGAAGTATTTAAGACAGACGTGAAAACAACAATAACAACAACAACAACTTGTTTGTTGCCCACTTCTCATTCTTATTGTAGAATCAAATGAATGCTTGTATTCTCTAATAATCAACTTTCATTACTATTTCTCAAGCAGGCTGTTTAACTAATGGAAGAATGCTGTTCTTCTGTGCAGTTCTAGTTAGAGATGCCATATCCTTGTAATTTTGGACATAGGACTGAGAAGAGATACAGTGGTGAAGAAAAGATGCAATTTTTCCTTTCCTGGTTAAGTTCCTGAAAAATGAACACTGCTCATCCCTGTGGAAACCTGCAGGTTCATGCATGTCCTGGGAGAAGCACTTTTGTGGCAAAGTAAAAGATCCTAGCTATTCATCGGTAGCATTAACCTCAATATATTCAGTAGTCAGGGAATACCATTTAATCTTTCTTTGTCATCTAATAATATGAGGATGTGAGATGATATGGTCTGTCATATTTTGGTTAGCTGAATCACTTGTTGATACTTGGTTGTTCTTTGCTCATTAGGTCCTTTCCATAACTGCTTACCTAATAGGGTCAATCTTGCCTTACCTACACATCAAGATTGATAATAAGTATTTAAGACCCATGTAATTGTACATGTATGTGGATGGTACATCTCAAAAATATTACTTAGAATTTTTTATGATTAATTAGGGAAATAATTAATGAGTATCAACATAGTGTATGTACCAAAGCCAGTTTAATACTGGCAAGTAGAATTTAGCTAAATATACATCATCTTTATAGCCTATTCTACAAATGCATAGTTGCAGTAAGAGTAAGAAAAGTGAAGTAGAAAATCTTACTGCAGTTCCTCTTATTCAAATAAGCAAGATATGACTGTCATGGTTTAGGACTGGTATTCTCCAATTTACTGTTCCTCCTGAAACCACTCCAAACCACGTGCTGCTTGCTTACTTATCTCTCTCTCTCCCCTGCATCAGGCTGGAGAGGAGAATTAGAGGCACAAAAAGTAAAGATCAGGGGCTGAGATCAAAGCAATTTACTGAAAACAGCAATTAGATAAGAAAACAAACAGTAACAGCAACAATGTTTATAATAGAAGTGTACAAGAGAGGTGAACTATTCACATGCGAATGCTCACCACTATACCATGCTGAGTGTGACAATACCCAACTGCTGCCATGGTAGCCCGACCCCTCAGGAACCTTATCTTATCTATTGAAGGAAAAGCTGCTCTGAGCTACTGAGATATACCTGACATTTTTCACAAGTGCCTTCACTTGTGAAAGTGAAGGAAAGACTGGATATATGTGTGGTTTTCAACTGGGAAAAAAATTCAAGTTTAAAGTACAGGCTGTGGAATCCTCAAAAAATGCGTTCGTAACATGATAGACATCACTTGTTAAAAGCAGAAGATACTAGAACTGGAAGCTGTAACTTCTGAATTAGCAGATTATGTCTGATCTCATGTATTTTTTCATGGAGGAAAGCATTCAACATTTTGACTCTCCAGGTGAACTGTATCATCATCCATGCAAAGTTATTCCCTACCAAAAATATTGCATCTGTATCCATCAATATAGGCTCATCTCTTGGATAACCAAGTAAAGTCTTGTAGATTTCCCTTCCATGTGGCAGCAGGACATTAAAAGCCTTCCAGATGGAATATACTCACAGAGTCAAAAGACCTTGGTGGACTGTACTTACTGCAGTTCTTGTGGGATGAGAAAGGGAACAAAACATCTAACTAGACAGTCAGATGAAGTGAAAGCTTTGCTCTTGGCTTTTCTCTGAAGAAAGGAAGGTGCCTCTACACACCTTCACTGCATGCCTGTTGTAAACAACCAGATACTCTCAAGATGTAATTACTGTCTGGTTAGAGGTGCCCCTTGGGAAAGAGTTGTTATAGATTGCAGTCCTCAGCATCATAAGAAAATTTTAGTAGGTTCACCAGAGAGCTGTATATTACCATATACCTTTTGCTGTTGGAGCCTAAAATAATTTCAGTTTTTCAGGGATCTTCTCAAGGGTAGATTGACAAAATACCTTCACTGACTGAATCTATAGCTCTTCATGAATTGGTCTTAATTGTTTGCCCAAAATGTTTTGGTTGCAATGACTTCTGCCTTCTTAGGAAGCTAATTTACCTGACTTCACTAAATCTTGTACTACTTCATTTATAACTCTTCATTTATTAAAAATGAGGCATCTTTTTTGATCTCAGCTTTTCCACCTTGTGTCCATGACTGAAAATTTAAAAGACTGTCAGTCTTTTTACAGAATCTTTTCCAAGGTAATTGAATACAAAAGAATGAAGTTTGGACCCACTCATTGGGAGTGCAAGTAGTAACTGATCTGTGTCTCAGCATCTGAGATTTATAGAGCTGTCACAACTTGTGTCACAGGCATTCTCCCTAAGTGTTATGTACTGTACCTTGAGACTGGTCAAGGAATGGTGTTACATTTGTGATAATGTTTCTTCAATTTTTTCTTAATTAGGAGCATTGAAATTGAATAGATATTCCTTGGAATTGTCTGTAGTATGAATGCACATAAAGACGAGCACTTGAAGAAAATAATTACTTATCTATAGCTTCTTTTATCCCTTAAAAGGTTCTTTCAACTTTTTGGACTCTGTTTTCATCTACGTAGATGATATGGTTTGAAGCTGGCTCCCTGCCAAGTCTCTAAACCTTACCACAAGAAGTCCCCCCTTCCCCAAAACCTCAGGGAGAAGAGGGAGAAAAAACAACCAAGAAAAACCGAAACGAGAGACAGCTAAAGCAACATATATAAATATATTTACGAGGACCCCTGGTGGTCTAGTGGTTAGGATGTGGCGCTCTCACCGCCGCAGCCCAGGTTCGTTTCCCGGTCAGGGAACTCCCCCGGGCAGATGGAGCTCGTCAGCCCTGTAAGGCCATGCATCTAAGAGAAGGTCACTCTAAACAAACCCACGTCCTGAGGACCTCACTGCCACTGTCCGAGCTCACTCGGCCCCGGCAGATGAACCTTAGGATTAAAGGGTCGGCTCAGTTCAGCACACACTGTGTCTCACCTAAAAAATCCATTGCGCAGGCTCGAAGGGTAATGACCTTTCCCAAATCTTCGTTCACGAAGACTGGCCATGAAATATATTTACACTTATGTTACAGTAATAAACAATTGAAATATATGTAATTTCACAAGGGAAAGGGAAGGGGGAAGGGAAAAGGAACAAAACCAAAATAAAATATATATATATCCTGATTAGTAACCCAATATCTAGCAACTAAAAGAATTGGCAAAAAAAACTATCTTACTACTCTCCTTGGGACAACGAAAAGTCACGCTGGAATGATCGCCGGCAACCTCCGTCTCCTAAGGTTGACAAGGGAGAGGCCTTACCAGGCCTCGTTCCCCAACACGAAGACTCAACAGCAGGGAACCTGCACCTCCAAGCCACCAGAAGGAAAGAGAGCAAAGGCCTTTCCTCCTTTCTCCTTATAGCCCAGCTTACGTAAAAATTGTAGGGAATACTGGGTAAATCTGGGCCCTTCCTTGGTTACAAACTGGTCACCAAGGAAGGCCTAGACCAAACTACCACAACAGACTAACATTGCTGTCAAGCAGGCCTAAATTATGCTTGCCCTGCCATGCACCCCCATAAGAGTTCAGATGAAATAATATCTAAAACTACTTTCATGCTCACATTCTTTGCAGTAGGATAAAGGTAAATGATTGCGGTCTGTGCTGTCATTTAATTTTAGCATGTTCTTTTTGGAAACCTAAAAAGTGCTGTTGTTTCTCACAGTCTGTATCAAAGTAGCTTGGACATTTGGTTACTCTTGTGACCATATGTAAATTCAGCTCTTGGAATTATATATACTTTGAAGATGACTGATACAGTATCTTTCCAATATTTTACCTGACCATGGCAAAATACAGCATCATTTTCTAGACCATAAAAGGCTTTACAGCAAAGTATTTGGATCAGATTGCTTTAATTGTTTGCATAGTATGTAAGGTTCAAAGACAATCCTAATTGACTTGTGCTTTTAAAAAGCCCTTAAATTGCTGGAATTACTTGAATAATGTATTTCTTGTGCATTGAAGCAAGGTGTGCTGAGAAGAAAGGGTATAAAAAGGAAATAATGGCTGTCGACATGCTTATTTGTGATTAACAATAAGTTGTTCTAAAGACTTGTGAATCTGGACAGTGAATTCCTGCTTCTCCTGGCTATAGGTTTTCAAGATGGATCTCTTGAAATCAGAGGAGGGACTACTCACTAGTTGACCTTATGCTTTCTTCTGAGCTGAAGTAGTGGTTCCCATGCAGTGTTCTATAATACTCAGTATGTTTAAAGAGTGAGGATTTCAAAAAAGAAGGGGAAAACCTACATTCTGTTTTCCAGGCTCAGTTTTGTTTAATCAGCATTCTGTTTTTCAATAAATTTTTCGCTATTCACAGACTGTAACCTCTACCATTTCTATTATGTCACCAACTTTTTATAGATATGTACAGATAAAGGTATATTTACAGTGATTTTTATATGTTGAAAATTGGTTTTTATCTGCTAAAGTGCTTTTGCTAAAGGAACTCAATATTTGTATAAAAACACAAAATTCAATGTAGTGAGAAAATACTTAATTTTTATGGAAATTTTTGAACTAGTGTTTGATATTGTTGTAACCTGTCCCAGGGCACAGAGGTAACCCAGGATCTTTTTAATAGATCCCTCGGTGCAGATTAAAATGAAACAACACTGAATGACAGATGTTTGTAAATATATATATAAATATATGTAGGGTTTATTTTAAGGCAGTTTGGTTGTAAAGGAAAGCAGGTATGTAGCCATTTTGGTTATTGTTATTCATGGTAATATAACAATATCAAAACATAGCAATATGAAAGCATAAAAATATCATCCAAGGACATGTATATAGGAAAAAAAAAGAAAGAGAGAGAAAGGATAAGATTGTGAAGATCTCACCTCCTGGTCTGCAAGACCTTGATTGTTGCACTTTAGTTGTCGTTGGTCTTGATCTGTCAGGGGTGGATGAGAGGGGAAGAAGCCCACGAAATACAAAGTCTAGTGGGTTAAAACACATTCAGGTTTTTGGTGGAAAGGCTTGACGCCTCTTCTAAGAAGAGGGGGCAGCTTTACTCTGGTGGAAGGCCTTCAGAAGATGGGTGTTGGGCCTTTTTGGGAGTCTTTAATGGTTTATGGCACATTCCAAGACATGACAGCTGCCCTCCCAGACTTTCATGGGGGAGGAGGGGGAGTTTTACAACCCAGTAGTTTGTGTAAGAGAGGACAATTTAGCATGGCAAGAGGCCCCATCCTGTCTCCACAGGACTCTGTCTCTTATCTCACTCATAGTCCACCATTCATCCCTCTGTCTTATAAGATCAAAGGCCATTACACACCCAAAAGCTGACCTCCTCCACGAGAATCTGGCTTCAACAAAGCATCCTGGAACCTTTTCACATAGGAATGTGTTGAGTCATTAGCCCTTAACAGTCTCAGTTTCTCACAGATATTTATAGCTCATGTGGCTGATCAGGAATTTATGTAGCTTAATTATAAGTTTACAGTAGTTTTATAATTAGAAATGATGTAATGTCTAATTATTTATTGTATCTTTTTGATTGTGATGCATATTGAAATCTAAGAAATAAAATAGTTTATTATTTACTCTATTACAGGTAGCTTGCATGCAGCTCATCAATGCTCTCGTTACATCTCCTGATGACTTGGATTTTAGGCTTCACATCAGAAATGAATTTATGCGCAGTGGATTGAAAGAGATATTGCCAGTAAGCATCTCATAGTCTCTCTTTGCAGTACTATTTAAATTTTTTAACTATTTGAGCTTGAGAAGGGGAATGGGAGAACAAGTTCTAATAAATTATTCTCAAAGGTATTTTATCAGTTTGGGCATGAGCAGGTAAGTATAAGAATCAGCCTAAAAATGAAAATGTGAAGTGTGCTCTCTGAACTTTATTATGGTCCCTCAGGATTTTAGGACCTTGCTTAAGAACATGTGACGGACTGTTATGCAACACTTGTAAGCCAGGCTGAAGTCGTGTTTACCTTTTGAATTTTTAGTTTAACTCATATATTCTTATAATTTTAAACTTTAAAATAATGTAGACTTAAGGAAGTTATTAAAATGTTAAGGCTTATTTACATATGGAAATGCTAATTTTGCAAGCCTTTCTACTGTTTCTTCTTTACAGCAACTGAAATCTATAAAGAATGAAGCACTAGATATTCAGCTGAAAGTGTTCAATGAGCATAAGGAAGAAGACATGATCGAGTTCTCTCATCGCTTAGAAGATATTAGATCTGAACTAGAATATCCTTTTGAAGGCCAATGGCATCTTTCCTTGTATCAGAAATAGTGTGGCCAGCAGGACCAGAGCAGTGATTGCCCCTCTATACTCAGCACTGCTGGGACCACACCTTGAATCCAATGTTTAGTGTTTGGCCTCTCACTACAAGTTCATCGAAGGGCAAAAAAACTGGTGAAGGGTCTGGAGCACAAGTCTTAGGAGGAGCAGCTTAGGGAGCTGGAGGTGTTTAGCCTAGAAAAGGAAGCTCAGGGGAGACCTTGTCAATCTCAATGATTATTTGAAAAGAGGTTGCAGTGAGGTGGGGGTTGGCCTCCCAAGTAACAAGTGATTGGAGTGATTGGATGGGAGGAAAGGGCCTCAAATTGCACCTGGTGAGATTTAGATTGGATGTTAGGAAAAATTTCTCAGAGGTTGTCAAGCACTGGAACAGGGTACCCAGGGAAGCAGTGGCGTCTCCATCTCTGGAGGTCTTTAGAAGACATGTAGATGTGGCACTCAGTGGCCTGGATGGCCTGAATGGTGAACTTGGAGTCTTTGACTAACAGTTGGATTTGATGATCTTGGAGGTCTCTTCCAACCTAAATGATTCCATGAATAGAGCAAGAGAAACATGAAGAAAATAAAGCGTATAATGGATATTTTTCTGGTGTACTTTCTGTTTAAAGCAGTTATCATCATTGTCAACATTAGACTGAAATATTTTATTCTTTGTTCTTATTCTCCTTAACACTTTTACTGAAGTAAATGATGTTTACAACATGGTGTGGAATACAGTTAAGGACACTAGTGCTGAAGGATATTTTCTTTCTATTCTCCAGCATCTTTTGCTGATAAGAAATGATTATTTTATCCGGTATGTTTAATTCTGTGGTAAATGTTAATTATGGATTTTTTTATCCTTCAGTCATTAATAGAATATTTCTTCCATAAATTTAAGGATAAATAGGGTTTAGTCTCTCTGGATGGATTGCAATTTGTAAGTATTCCTTTGTGAACTCATGTTTAAAAGTATCAGCTTTGCAAGTTTATATATAAATATAAATAGAAAACTGTTGAGATCTGAGCCTTACTGACTGCAAGTATAAGTGATCAGGAGAGATTTCTTAATCAGTTGTAAATTGTGGTAGTAACACTGTAATTTTGTGGTGTATTTGAGTCAAAGGACTAAATCAAGTATGCACAGAAGTTCACTTTAATCTAACGTATGCTTAATTTAGAGTAACTTTTGGGTTGGAATTGAGTATTTTCAGTAGACATAGGTCAGTGTGAACATGTTTGTGTCTTCTGGAAAATTCATCAGATAAATTACAGGGAAACAGTTTATAAAACCTTAAGTGTTAGAGGCTGCCAAATACTTTTCTTCCAAAAATCTGCTTGTGTTGTTTTTGAGGAAGCACTGGAGGAACCAGGTATGAACTGAACAAGGAAGGAGAGCCATCTGCTTTCTGCACAACATTCTGCATAACCTTGCATTTTGGGCAAGGTCTAGCACACATGTACTTTTAAAGGTTAAGGGTGCTTGCCTGCTATGGATACATCTGTGCTAGACTTCTTCCACCTGAAAGGGTTTGAATTCACAGCTTGTTCGTTCTGGGCAAGTTACCCAGCTGTCATACCCCCTGGCATTTTAGAACAAGGTGTTTTTCATTCCTCATACTGAAGCAGGACTGCAATGCATTTATAGTTACAAAAGTCACAAAACTAGACAGAATCAAGCTGAAAGAAGAGCCTTCTCTTTGCTGAGAAGAAGCAGGAGGTAGTCTTTCCTTCCTGTATTTCCACAGGGGGAGAGATACAGAGTTTATACTATAAGAATGATTTATCTTTAGGTCCACTGCTTTTTCAGGCTTTGTGTAAACTGTTCTTGTGTAATAAACTGCCAGATGTGTTTGTCCTTTGAGACTTTTGGGGTTTGCACCTAGCTTTCTATGGAAATAATTCAGCCCAACGCCCAAAACTTTTAAACTTACTGTGTTATAGACAAGATTTTAAATATAGGTTGATAAATAAATATGCAGTAAAATAGCTCATCTCTGTCTTTAGTCCACAGTATTTCAAATTAATTGAAGAGTGTGTGTCACAGATAGTGTTACACCGAAATGGAACAGACCCAGACTTCACATATCGTAAAAGATTAGATATAAATTTCAGCCACTTAATAGGTAAGTACTGTGTTTGGAAATGATTACAGTATCATACTTCTTTTTATGTTCAAAAATCCAAGTTAAAATTATTTGTGTGATTAAGAATCTTATGTTCCTGTATATGTTTAAGTGTATTTGTTGATTTTTTTCAAGATATTTGTGTAGATAAAGCAAGATTAGAAGAATGTGAAGAGAGGGCTTCTGAACTTTCCAGAAAAGTAAGTAATTTTTTTGTTTTGTGATCGTAAGGTAGACACAGGGGATTACTTAAGAGATTAATGAATGATGTAACTGAGCATGGCATAGTTTTTAACTTCAAATTACTATTAGTTCTGTGTTAAAGTATAAATTTGGATGTTCCTTGTGGATTAGGAAGCAAAATGGTGTAAAGTAGCTAACCTTAACTGAGAATCTTTCTACCATTTATTTTAAGGTTTCATGTACAACTCTCCCAAAAAGTCAGTTGAATACTTTATTTGAACAGTTATAAGTTTGTCTAACAAGAGAAAAAAATGGACTTGTTTGTATCTACAGATTTCGTATTACTGTACATCCATTTTTTTTAAGCTACTCTGTGTAATACCAACTTGCAATACATTACTACTTTATGGCATTTCATATAGTAAAGGTCTGTAGAGGTGATACAGATGGTGCTTCCACTCAGCAGACACATGAAAGTTAGAATAGAAGATGTGTTGTGTGTGTCCTTAGTATTGTTAACATGTGAGTTTTAGCAAGCACAAAAGGAAAAGTTGAAATTTAAAGGAACTATGCGGAACTGACTGGTACCAACAATTTTATTTCTTTTTCTTTTTTCTTTAGTTTGAAAAAGATTTTGTAGTTCACCAGGAGACCCAGGCCCTACTGCAAAAAAAAGAAGAAAGAATCAATGAACTCGAGACAGAATTACAAGCTTTTAAATCACAGGTATAAAACAGTTTAAATGAATGTATGAAGTATTGTTTTTGAAAGGGACTTCATTTTTCACGTTCTGCAGATATTGATAGTACAGCTGAGGGTTTCTTCAAAGAATCTTTGTTATCGATTATTATTGCATGTGAGTTTCCTTTATTTCTGTTTTATAAAAATTATTGTAATGTGACATTAATTAGCTGTGTGAGTTCCCAGATGATCCGTTTATGCCTGAGCTCAGTTAATTAACTAGTTTCTTATGTTTTATTTGGGTTTTGCTTTCAATGTCATATATTTCCAAAGTAATTAACCACATAGGGTAATAGGTCTTATGCTTTTAGATTAGCATTCTTCACTGTGATCTTTATCCCTCCACAGGAAATTGCTCATTATGCAGTTTGCTTTACTGAAGCCTTACCATGGATATCCAGCAGTGAAAGAAATAACTGTGGCTGGATAAGAACATTTCCTGATAATTTTTCAATTTTCAAGCATAAATTGATATTTGAAAATGTGATGAAGAGGAATAGTGCAGATTTTTGAGAATATTACTTGAGTTAGCTTGTAACTGCTTCAGCTCTTAAATCTGTCTAAGGAGACTTTGTGACCCGGTGACTTTTCCTGTGTCTTATTTCCTGGAATAAGAAGCACAGTCTAAAAATGGCTAAAGGAAGAGCATTAGGAAGACATGCATATAGGTGGTTTTTTTTATACTACTTTTTTTACTACATTTGAGGGATTTTTTTAATACTTATTAGCTTCTTTAATTTTCTTAGTAAGGAAAAGTAATTTAACTCTTCTTTGGTCTGTTTAAAAATGTCATTCTTATTCTATCAACAGTAGATAAATATTTCTTGTCAAAACTAACTGTTAATGTCAAAATCAAACATTTAAAACCAGCAATTACAGAATTGTTGCATTCTGAAAAACCAAATGTAGTAAGAGTTGTATATCATTCATTAAGAAAGTATTTTTCTGTGTGTATCTTGAAAAGATACTTAAAGATACTTACTTTTTGTAAGTGAAATTGGTTTTCTCTCCTATTTTGCGTTTTCTGTTGTTCACTGTATTAAATATAACTTTTTTTTAAATGCAGACAGAGAGCATAATGTATGATTTTGCTCACTAACTGTCATACCATGAATTATCCCACTGTCATTAATGAGATGCATGAAAAGTTTTGTAAATATCAAGTAATTGATTACTGCAACTTAGTACTTTTAAATCTGTCTAAAGAGGAAACTTTGGCTTCCATATGGCATCAGTTGCTACTTAGCATGTCAACTTCCACCTCTAATGACTATTTTTCTCCTTGTATGGTTCCTTTACTCTCTTCTTGCATTTGGTATGTGTTTATGTATTTCTTTCATTACCAGAACCTATCAGTTCAATGTCTACTTGTCAGTGGAAACAATGTTTTTATTCAGAAATTCAAAACAATAATACCTCTGTGCATGTGTTTATTTGTATTTATTGATATTCAACTATTTCCTTTTAGAAATATTAAATCCTTTCCTTCTTGTAGTTCCCTCAGTTTTTTAAAAATCAAAGGGACTGTTTCAGGTCATAGTTAGTTGAAAAAGTGATTAGTGCTATCAACAGTAGATAAATATTTCTTATTTATTCTACTGTTGTTTTATCAGATACCTATTTATTGACGTTTGAAGGTCTGTGATAGAAGTTCTTCAAATAGTAGAAATAAATATTTTTTTAGACTTTTCAAGCCTATCTTGATGCAATATAGGTGTCCTTACTATACAGAATAAGAAGCTGGTGTGTAAGGCAGCTTTATTTTTTGGAAGGATTTTTTTTTCATCATTGCTTTGTGTTTTTGGTTGTGTAGAATCAGAATGCTTATATATTGGAAGATATCTGTTTTTCAACAGAATTACTTATCTCTTCAAATTCTGCTAATATGTCCTTATAATGTTTCTCTGTAATCTGTAGGATAAGTACGAACAATAGAGACTGGGATGTTACTTTTTTAAAATTTGATCTAAACCGTGGTAGTCTAGATAAAATCTCTTCAAGACACTTATCAGACCCTTTTTTAAATCGTGGTCAGTGAAATGTGACAGATGGGATACAACATTTCAGTTTGTCACTTTTGGTGCATTCCCAGGTCTGCTTCAAATATTGAGACTTTGATTACGAAATCAAAAGCATGTTGGTCTCATTGTCATTCATACTTGATTGTTCTATAAATGAAAAATGACACTGACTTTCAGCTGGCTTTCTGGATTTAATCTGTAAACAATGATTGTTATAGAATTTTGTTGATAAAAACGTGAAACTGAGTAATAATATTTTCCTTATCAGTATGGCTCTGTGCCACCTGGTTTTCTGCCATCAACATGTGGAGATGCCTCTGTTGTTCCACTGGAAGGTGCAGGACGACATCAACTTCCACCACCTCCTCCTCCACCACTGCCTTCTAATGGAGCAATTCCACCACCACCACCACCCCCTCCTCCTCCACCACTTCTGAGTGGCTTGGGAGCTCCTCTGGCTTTTGGTGGTGCTCCTCCTCCACCACCTCTACCAGGCCTGCCTGGAATACAGTGGTCCCCGCCTTCCTGTGCTTTGCCGTTCGGAATGAAGCCTAAAAAAGAATTTAGACCTGAGGTTACCATGAAAAGACTCAACTGGTCCAAGGTAGTATTGATTAATGGCAAATACTGGATGTAAAATCTGACATTGAACTTAGGGTAAATAGATTGTCAGGGGTAAGACTAGATAAGCAATCAATAAGTTAGTTAAAATTATGTAATATATGAATACTTTCTTGCCTCTGGTTTTTTATTATTTTCTGAAAACTGTATTTCATTGGTTCATCTGGGCAAGTATCCGTTGACTTTATGAGATGCCTGGAAAAGTCAGTTCTACAGTTCTAGATCAACCTTGATGCCTGCATGCTTCCAGGGTCCTAGTATGCCTTGTATTTTAGCAGACTCTTTACGTTGGATCAGTCACTGCACTGTACTGATAGCTATAGTTCCCAAACAAGTGTCTTGTATCTATCCAACCTGGACTGTGGAAAGAAGCAGTGCAGGTCTCTCAATTTGTCCTTAGTGTAAAGGTACATATGTAAATTTAATGGCTGACAAAGTATAGAGTCAGTTTGTGGGGTTTTTTTCTTCTCCATAGTGACAGGATCAAGTATACCAGGGCTATCAATCTACTGAGTTTGAAAACCATAATTATTTAGACCAAAATAAGTCAATAAAGAGATTTTCATAGTTTTATGATGTAATCAAAGCTACAGTCTAAAAAGTAAGGTACTTAATATTTAATTAAACAAACTGTGTTCAGAGGCTCTTTAAAGTTTTACCCAAGTTTTAAATCTAGACCAAAAGTAATTTGCTATATTTAGATCTTGGATAACAGAGTATGTTATCTGCATTTTTAGAATCAGTTTGTCCAAAAACACTTATTGTAAGCATTATTATTTTCAAGGAGAAATATTGACAACTCCAGAGATGAGTTGTATACCAAAAGTTCACATGTTTTACAGAGCTCTTATGTATTTAATTTGCTTTAGACTCTAGAGAGCATAGTGTCTGCATAGTATCAAAATAATTTAATTAATAAAATTTCGGTTTGTCTCTTGCTGGTAGATCAGGCCTCAGGAGATGACAGAATCCTGTTTTTGGGTTAAGGCAGAAGAGGACAAGTATGAGAATGCTGACATGCTTTGCAAATTGGAACTTACATTTTCTTGTCAAAAAAGGGGTAAGTGGTTGATGGTAATTTTCAGCCTTTGGATAGATCTTTAAAATTCTTGGACCTTAAATAAATATATGAGAAAACTTTAGAATATAACATTAATGTTCTTGTTTTTAAGTGGAATGTGTGAAGAAAAAGTTTGTAAATCCAAGACTGCTTAAAGGAGTAATATTTAACTATTTTACTTAAAGGATGGCAAAAATTGTGTTACTGTTTTGCCAGGGGACGAGGAGCAGCACAAGAGACACAGACACCAACTTTAAAGAACAGGTGTATAAACTTACTATAGTGCCAAACAGTAAAACATTACAAAAGAAGCAAAGAATTACAAAATGATTAGCATTAGCCTAATCATTACTGCAAAGAGTGTCTATAGTGATTAAAAAAGATATATCCCCAGTTACCCTTTAATACATTACCGTAATCGGTATCCAGACCCACACATCAGCTGGAGAGCCCCTGATCTCAGTGAAGGGTGGGAGAACCACTTCTGATAACTGGGAAATCCTGCTCAATGCTTAGTGAGGCTTCCATCTTTGCTGCAAAAGGGGTCCAGCTTTTATATTGTTAAGCAAACAAGCTTACATCACTGCTTAGTGAAGAAAACATCTGTCTCTCTTCTCTCCTTGCTTTTCACCCAAAGCCTGGCCAGGGCTCAGAGGAAAATCAAGGGAGTCAGTTTAGACCATTTACTGTTGAACAATGCCAGCCACCTACTTCCATGGCCTTGACCAATTTCTAAATACGGAAAGATAGATACATTTCTATCTCATTAATGAACAGATACAAATGTTCACTAATAAGGGGGTACCAATATGTCTTACTAACAAGCATACATGTTTACACAGGTGTATTGCTATCATATTACATATTTTACTAATGATTATACTAAACTTTGCTTAATAATTTAGCTTATACCATGGCTAACTATAACATTAGGTTGGAAGGTTCACCTAGAGGTCAACTCTGCCTCAGGGCCTGTTGTTCAGGCCTTAGCACTTCAGTGACCTATAGGAACACCTCACAAAAAAACCCCCCAAGAAATACTCTCAGATAATACAGACTTTTATTTAGTCACATTTGAAAAAAATATTTATAAAATTTTGTCAGAATACTTTCATAAAGTACTGCAATCTAATCTAGAGGCCAGAAGATGATGTGTTTACCCTCAGAATGCATGTTATAATTGGTGTGTTTTGGTTCCATGAAGAAGGAGAGTATTTTAGTGAATATTTTACTTTCTGATAAACCTGTATCAACATAGATTTCCTTTGATACTTGCTTAGCTTCTTCAGCTTTTAAAGCATTGTGGATGAACAAAATATTTGAAAATATTCCTAGCTTTAAACCTTTTCTCCCTTCCTAGTAGTAGGTTGTCTCAGTAATAATGTAGGTTATTCTGTCCCATATATAAAATGCCTATATTTCTACTGTTATTTCTTTACACAATTTTTTCTTCCTTCTTTTTTGATATTAGAGACTTAGTACTATGGGGCAGCCAAAGGGCTGCAGTGATTAATTTCTTTGGAAATTGAGATGGCATCATTGTATTTTTAGTGTTTTAAAAAAAAATTTAATTTGGTATTTTTATTAATGCAGTGCATGGCATTTTCAAATTTCTTCTTTTTTGGGGTATGTTCTGGTGTGTATTCTTTTGCCATAACCAAGAACTTTATTCTGCTCTTGTCAAAGCAGGCTTTTTATGCTCTCGCATTATTTCTACTGCTTTTAAGTATTATAGTTTGTTCATGTTGATTAATAATATTAAGAATATTGTACGAAGATAAAAAGGCAAGAAAACCTCACAGGCCATAGACATGTCCGCTTGAATCTATTAAAGTAAGTCCAGAACCTAATTATGGTTCCTTTATAATGTTAGGAGAATTCCCAAGAATGTTCCCTGAATTAATAGGTTGGAAGGTTTAAAAGCCACTGGGGGAAATAGTTTCTTGTGTGTAATTAAACAGTAAAATTTGGGAGACAAGATGACGTTCAGGCCAAACATGTTAATGGCTCGGAAGAGGATTGTGAGTCTCCACAGACAGCGAGAACATTAGAGTTAACGAGATTAACATCCCTCAAAATTTAACTGTACGGACTGAATACATTGTTTTGACAAAACCTAATATAACAGAGTTACTGCATCTACAGTTGCAAAGTCAGTGAGGTACACTTTTATACCAAATGTGTGTGTGTGTGGGTGATTTAAGGATGTAGTCTGCAGGGACACATTTATTTCCTTTTTTACAAGTGAGGCTTACTGCTTAATCTTTTACATTTTTAAGTTTTGAAATCTCTTTCGTCTCACATGGGTGATAAAAGTGTACCATCATCTTACTTCTTCAAAGAAAGTGGAGACACTAAAGATTTATTTAGAACAGCAAGTAGGTGTCTAAGGGGCAACATGGAACTAAATTTCATCTTTGTTCATGTGAGTGGTTTACAGAACTTTACATGAATACTTAAGCACATTAGTAGACAAGACCAGATATATCTGTATCTCTTGTTGACGGCATGAATTCTAGTAAAGAGGTCTGCAAAATAACTGCTTTTGTTCTCATGATCATGGAGAGAGGGGATACTTCTTTGTAACTTATACGTAACTTACTGTTTATAACAAAACTTACCAAAGAAATTAGAGACATCCCGTTTCCTTCACAGTCTTGAAGAGACTTAATACCAGGCTTTCTAATGTAGAATCAGCGAGCTATTCACTGTACTCAAATTGGGAACAGTCCTTGAATGTTTCTAAAGCTTTGTCTCTAAACCCAGAAAGATGAGAAATTGAAAATGATTCTGTAGTCAAATGATGACATGCAATGAATGAGCTGGTTCTACTCTGCTGAAGGGTCTGCTTATGCACTCTTTTCACTGAAATCTTTGCATAAGAAGAGGTATCTAGTTGTGGAAGCAGGGACCAGAATGTTCAATAATGCTTTAAGTGAATTTTATTCTCATTAAGTATAATCATATTGAAGTACTCAAATGTTCGGTTGTGACATTTTGCTAGCTAATGTGCCTAAAGTATTTCAGTGTTGATCTAGAAAAGTAAGTCTCATGCCTATGTAAATAGCCCATTGAGGAAATTCTGCTAGAAAAAGGAATACAGAACAGTATAGAATAGAGTTGAAGCTTTAGCAGATGTTTATATAGGAATTATAAATTATATTGATTCTGAAGGGGCATTGAAACAATTAAAAAACTGAAGATGTTATGGAGGTACGAAAGAAATACTACTGCAATAATTAAAAAGTAAAAAGTTCAAGACAATATTGCAAGAAACAAGTTAGCATTACAAACGTGGAAGTATGAAGAAAATGGGAAAACTCATTAAATTTATCTAGATAAATGTAAATGGGATGTTCTTCACAAACTCATTTTGAATCCATGAATTTCTTGCAAAGGATCCTCTAGCTAATATTGAAATGTACATTTAATTTTTTGAAAAGAAATTAGCTAAGGAGTTGGCGAGACCACTTGGAGACAACTTCAAAAGTTCAACAGGTTCAAAGAACATTAGAAAAATTCCAGGGTAAAAGGTCCAAAAGAAATAGGAAAGGATATATTTGTAGGAAAGAGCTTTCTTTTTTGGGAAGTGAGGAGAATGGATTATACAAAGTGGTAAGGCTGGCATAGTGTGTTTTCAAGTGACATCTCTTATTGCAGCTTGTGGTTCTTAATCATGGATATGTGCACCCGGTTAGTTGGAGTAGCTTCAAGCTACTATGTTTAAGACTTACAGTAGTGAAAAAAGGTAAATTTTAATATGCAATTGCTTGGTCTTGTCACCTTATAAAACAGATTAAAGTAATGAAACGTCTATAATAAATATTCTTGGTTTGTGGAGATACTTTGAAGAGTACTGGTATGGAGAAGATCATAGCACAGTAAGTTGCTGAAGTCTCTGAATAAATGTAATTAATGTAGTGAGACTCTAGTAGTTAAGCATAATGTTGGATATGTCTTCAGGATAACTCGAGAGAGAACCAGCTACATGTTTGCTTACAGTAATCCTCTGGGTGCTTGAAGAGTTTTGCCAAGGTGATTCCCATACTTGGGAGGTTGTATAGAGAAAGCAAGAAAACAACTTCTAACCAAAAAGAAATCTTTGGAAGCATTTCAATCCAAAATGACAATTTGTCTCATGTATGTAAAATATAAGAAAGGTAGTAGTTTTATGAAATGTGTGCTTTATAATTATTGTGTTGCATTTATAAATATCCTATTAATAAATTGATTTGACTCGATCCAATGACTCCTATGTTTAAAGTGTTAAAGTCCAAATGAGGATTAGAAATTGCACATCAAATATACAAGAAAGCACTTGTAAATTCTTAATTACTTTTAGCAGTATGTAGATAACTACGCTTAGTGGGAGATGGCATAAAATATTAGAAATTTACTCTTTTAGATATTGAAGGGAACTGATCTGGTAAACTCGAGAGAGAAAGATCACATGATCTCTCTGTATTTTTTTTTTATCAACTAGGACAGATTTTCATCCTAATCTTATTGGAGATGGCAGTGTCTGATCCCATCACACCAGAGCTCCTGCCAGACTTGATTATTTAGAAATAAAGCACTTCTGTGGGAGTACTATCTCTGTTGGCACTTGTCTTGAAAAGGTCAATATAGTTCTAATTTTTTTCTTTTTTTTTTCTCCTGTATACTCTAAGAAAAATCATCAAGACCTAAGCTGCTATAGTGCCAACTAAGTCTCAAATATTTTAAACCAGAAAAGAGAGTAAATGCTAGCAAGAAGATCAAATTAACAATATAAATCACTTTAGTGCTGTATTTGACCTGGCACAGTCTATCTAGCCATAAGCAAGAGAACTTGCAATCATCCACCTAAGGATTAGGTGGAGCCCAGTATCCTCATACTTTCCTCCTCTGGAGGAGGGTTTATCAGCAGTAGTTCCAAACAGTACTCCTTGTAGAATCTTATTATTACAAAGCTGTCAGACTGCCAACAATATATTTGAATAACTTCTGCTATAATACAG